ACTAATTATAGATTTATAAAACCTATATCTTAAAATTCTAAANCCTAAAAAATGTTTTGACACCTAAAACNCCCTAAACANTNAAAACTAAANCCTAATAGAACATAATNAACCCAAACATAAATAATATAAAGANAAAATAATTTTGAAAAAGTGACATTTTTGTAAAGATTTCAAAAGTGTGGTATTTTTGTAAAGTGGCACTTGAAAAGTGGTATTTTTTGAAATTTCTCATAAAACATAGTGTGTTTTAAGTGGAGTCGAAAGGTGAATGAAGCTTGTTTCTAAAAATAGAAGGTCCGGTGGGAGAATTCGGGTTGTGTACGACTCTACCAAGTTTAGGCTCAGGTGCTTCCAAAAAGGATCCGCGTTAATACGCGGATAAATACTATAAAAACTAATAAAATAAATATTTAAGTTTTATCGTAACCCGTTAAATTTCAAAATACTATTTAATGTGGATTCTAAAACCAGTAGAAATCAATTTATATCATAACTCTAATTTTCTAATACATATCATGAAAATCCAAAAATATATATATTATAAGAATTTAAATCATATTCTTAATAACAGAGAAAATTTATTTTAACCCATCATGAATATTTATTATTATATGATAGAAAATAAAAACAACTAAAAAACTATATAGTTAAATAAGAAATGAGTAAATTTTATGTTAGTAACCTCATAAAAACTATCACATAAGTACATGATTGATAATTGTATTTTATTAGTGTCATCGTTTTATTTCTCAGAGAGATTTATATTCGCCAAATTTTATACAATATTAACTTAATAGTAAATATAATATAATTTTTTAACTTATATAAATTTTTAATATATACACTTGAAGAGTATCAATGGCATCATAGGTCGAATATTTCTATTTTCTTTGTGATATTTTATAACTCTATATTGATAAAATAAATATTTTTATAGATTTTATTTTTATTTTATTTTTGCATGGTTGTGTATATTTTTAAATTTTTGAATTGAGGTTTCTATAATCTTTCTAACTTTTATTTTTCCAATTTATATACCTTCTTTTTTTATCATTCGTCTATAAACTTTTGTCTTTTTTTCAAATTTAAATATCATTTGTCTTTATATTTGTTTTAATTGAAATTTTTATTCTATATGTA